TGTGAGTGTACCGTCAAATCGGATCTGACTGGTACAGGAGGTGATTGTCCCTCCTTCCCCGGCAGAGCATCCGGTGCATTCGAACCGTGCACCTCTGGGATTGTAGTTGCAGCTCCCTGCCACTAGGCCACCAGATCTCCCCCAGTTCTTTACTTTTTGCAAGCAAGATTTGTGTTATTAGCATAATGTAGATTATTGAATCTTTCTCCAATTCTGATACCACATTTTCCTTCTATAGTCCATCTTCTCAAATTATTTGCTCTGCGTACTGGCAACTTAGTGGTAAAGAGTTGCACTGTCAACCAAAAAAATCAAATTCACCTACTGCCCTGCGCGATAAAGATGGACCACCTCCCCCCTTGTGATTTGCTGCCACTGAAAGCTTGCTAGAGGGTCAGTTATGAGTCATTTTCAACTCTTTGGTACATAACAACAGATTGAATAGATACTGAGAAACGATACTAATCTTGACACACACCTTTCTTGATTTTTAAACTATTTTGTCTCCCCTTCTATTGGAAGGACTACATCTCGGCATGTTTTACATAAGCACAATTAAGTCTTCTAGAATTTCCATTCTTCTCAGTGTTGTTGTTGTTAGATGCTATTGTGTCAAGTATGATTCGTGACTCTGTAAACAAGATCTGAACTCTGTCCTTTCTTGTGCCTCCTCATCGTTTCTGACACACTGAAGCCCATTACAGCAGTCACTGTGTCAGTCCATCTGGTTAAGCATCTTCATCTCTTTTGCTGACCCGCCATCTTTCCAGTGATCTCCCGCTCCAAGGAATAGCCTCTCCTAACAGCATGCCCGAAGAATGTGAGACAATACTTTGTCATCTTTGCTTCCTAGAATTTTACAGCCTCTGGCTGTAATATCCCCTAGATAGACTTGTTTTTTAATTCTTTTGACAATCCATGAAATATTCAACACTTCTGCAACACCACAGTTCAAAAGCATCAGTTCTATTCTGTCATCTTTATGCGCTGTCCAGCTCTTAGCTAAGCAGTTGGAAAGTCACACCTTAATTCTCAAACTAACATCATTCTCCTCAGTAGTTAGGAGAGGTCCCTGACTGAAGAATTTCCCATTGTCGTAAGCTCCTGACTGCTGATGCCAAGGGTGTTGATTGTGGATCCAAGTAAGATGAAGTCATTTTGACAGTTTCAGTCTTTTCTCTATCATGATGTTGTCTCTTGGTCCAGTGATGAGATTTTTGTTTCCTTGATGTTGAGAGGTAAAGCATGTTGAAGGCTGTAGTCTTTGAGCATTTTAAGTCCTCTTCACTGTTAGTAAGCAAGGTTGTGTCATCCACATAACACAGGTTGTTGATAAGGCTTCCTCCAATCTTATTATGATCCACATTATTCTTCCTGTAGTTCAGCTTCTGGAATGATTTGCTCATCATACAGACTGAGTAGATATGGAGAGAGGATACAACTCTGATGCATACTCTTCTTCATTTTAAACCACATAGTGTGTCCTTGCTTAGTTGGCACATCAGCCTCTTGGTCGAGGTATAAGCTCTTGAGTTCAGAATCTCTTTTGACATTCATCTTTAGACTTTTTAGGTTCTAGAATAGCTGAAGGCAACACGTAAGGATCTGTAATGAGAACTACAAGGTAGAGGAGGCAGGGGACACATAATGAAAGTCTGCGTGCGTAGTGAGTAATGAGACCTCTTACCCACTTCCTTTTCTTAACTTTCAAGATGTTTGTGCTCAGTTTATGTGCTCCAAAAAGAAGATGACAAGATTCCCTTGTAGAGAAACTGATCAAAGGGAAACACTTATAGATTATGAGGAATAAAATATTTCCTGTCATACACAACTAGACTACCATGAAAAGCAGTTATTTCCAAGAAAACAAAAGTTGTACAAAAAGGGAAATTAAAATACACTAAAATGGCTCAGGTTGTTAAGTAGCATGTACGTAGTCAAAACACTGAATGCTGATTTAGTGTTTAGAGGCATTTTAACTTTACAAGAATTGACCACTTCTTTTGTGGTGGTGGATAATCAAAGAAAAGATATATTTTAAAAATTTGAGGAATAGCAGTAGAAACATGATTCTTAAAATTAGGAGATAAATACCAAAAGAAGCTGCTAAAATGATTGAGAGTAGGTACCTCTTGGAATCTGAAATTGGGGTCAGAGAAGTGGTAAATTGAATTAAGTGTATTCTTTAAGGTAGGCAGTACATATAAGGACTTGAAGCACTTGTTGCAGAAGATCAAAGACTATAACCTTCAATATAGATTGCATCTCAATGTAAAAAAAAAAATCTTACCACTGGACCTATAGGCAACATCATGATAGATGGAGAAAAGATTAACAGTGTCAGTAACTTCATCTTATTTAGATCCACAGTGTATACCCTTGAAACCAGCAGTCAAGAAATTAGGAGACATGTTTCACTGAGAAAGTCTGCAGTCAGGGACCTCTCCAAATTGTTGAGGAATAATAATGTCAGTTTGATCACTAAGGTGCATCTCATTCAGGCCACAGTCTTTCCAATCACATGGTATGCATCTGAGAACTGGACAATAAGGATGATAAAAGAATGGAAGCGTTTGGGCTGTAGTGTTGCAGAAGAGTACTAAATATTCCATGGATTGCCAAAGGAGCAAACAAATATGCCTTTGCTCCTCCCAGGCAAAGATAATAAAGCTTCATCTCACATACTTAGGACATACTTCTAGGAGAAGCTATTCCTTGGAGAGGCATATGATTCTTGGAAAGGTATAGGGTCAGCAAAGGAGAGGAAGACCCTCAATCAAGTGATTGACACAGTAGCTGCTGCAGTGAACTCACATTCAGAAAGTGTGAGGATGACACAGGATAGGATAGGGTTCAGATCTGTTGTTCATAGGGTTGCTATGGGTCATACTCGACAGCACCAAGCAACAACATAAGGCAGACAAAAAGTTTACAGTCCTTGATATATAAAGAACTTGTATTAGGATGATTAGAAACCATGTGTATGACAATTAATGGATTTATAATGGAGAGAGAGGGAGAGGGAGGAAGTGTGTGTGAATCAGGAAATGATTAACATAAAACCATTATTGTAGAATGAATATGAGGATCCAATGGGGGAGGGTTGATGCAGAGGGATGTGGATGGGGGGGGATCAATCATGGATTTGTACAATTTGATGGGTGAGAGAAATTGAAAGAATCTAGTATGAAAAAGAATGTATTTGAATTTTGTAAATAAACTAGTATCATTTTAAAAACCCCCACAAACTTGCATAGATCCATAATATTGATGAGAATGTAAACAGAAGATTGGTAAAGGATACAAACAGTCATAGAAGATGGAAAAACAAATATCTGCATAGATTATTGTTTTTCAATGTTGGTATTTTTTTAATTGATATAAGATGGTATCTAATTTGATATTTAGTAAGATTATCAGTTATTTATTAGCCATTTTGTTTTTACTCATTTTATATCCTTTGAGAAAGGTATATGAGATCACTATTTGTAGAATAGTAACTATTTCATGAATGTAGAATTTTTCAGAACTCATAAAACAATTCCTAACGAAAACAACAGTTTTATTAAGCTGACATGAAAAGTTGATGATAATGTCGTTTACCTACACATAACAACCTTAAAGATATAATCCTGAATGACCAAGGAGGAAGCAGGCAGCAAGACCTCGAGACACGGGCAGGCAGGACGAAAAGTACAACAATGAATGGAAATCCAAAGTCTCTGTGAATGTTCATTAAAATTAATAATCATCATCATAATAATAATAATAAAAGAAATCACTTCCCTCATGTCATCCAGAAAAATATTTAAGGTTAAATTGTTGATTGTATAGCTTATATGCAATGCTAAATCTGCTTTTCAGTGCTACCTCTAATAAATAAATTCCAAGTGTAAGTGGAAAAAAAGGATAAAGCTAAGAAGGCAGGAAGGGTAGATGGGTTCATGGAAATAAGAATCACAGGAGAAAGTGAGTGCCATTACATTGTGGATGCTGTAACTAATGTTTATATAAAATGTGGTTGGTTGAATAGAAATTTCCTTTGTGGACTTACACTCATATCATATCACACACAGAAAAGATAGAATCCTGATATTATAAGGAAATAAATATGAGAAGGTCTGCTAATGATTATAGAAGAAACAATGAAATAAGTAGCCACATGCCTAGACCTATAGTATCACTGTATTGCAGATACAAAGAGGTGATATGTTGCCCAGCAACCTAAGTTCCATGGCTTTCTCAAGCAGTCATCCAGATGTCTCATATACTTGACATGCTTAATAACATTTCCTTCAATTTACATGGTAGTTGCATTAATGAAAAATACATGTATGTTTGTTAAAACTAAAGATTTCTCTGTATTTACATATAAGGTGTTAGATATTCTCTAGTTTTGTGTTACATAGTGTTGATAATTCTTCAATTTCTAGAAATGTGATTGTATATACATTAAGAAGGCCTTGACTAAAACAAAGTGTATTATGAGTGAGTTGTTAGTTGTCTCTAGTTTTTCTTCTAATCTCAGTGGTTAATGTGGTCTCAGAAGCTCTAGTAGCCTCGTGGTAAGGAGTTGTGCTGCCAACCCAAGGATGAGGTTCAAATGCACCAGCTGCTCTGAGAGAGAAAGATGGGTCATCTCTTCCTGTGCAGTTTACAGCCTCTGAAAACCCAGTGTAGGGTCAGCTTCAGCACACAACAGCTACAGTGTAGCCATGAATGTCCTGGCATTTCTTTGTATTCTCCATTAGCATTTAACAAGGCTTTGTAATTATTTCTTAATAGAGATATTTAAAACAAAAACATCTCTTTTTAACATGTTCCATAGTTTTATAGCTGTTGAGATTTGTATTGTTGCTCATTGATTATAGTTCATTTGTTGCCTTTTTCAAATAATATTCTAATTATCAACAGTTTATGTTATAGGCCTAATAGATTTACTTTTATAAGCTTATTGTACATTGATAATGAATTGTGCTTTTCTGTTTTTTTCTAATTAGCTCCTGGGCTACAGTGAAAAACCAATAAATCTACAGATGTTTATTGGGACAGCAGATGATCGATACTTGCGGCCGCATGCGTTTTACCAGGTGCATCGAATCACTGGGAAGACGGTTGCAACAGCAAGCCAAGAGATAATAATTGCTAGCACAAAAGTCCTGGAAATTCCACTGCTTCCTGAAAACAATATGTCAGCCAGGTATCTTACTCCAAATGGATTGATAATCCTTTCCTAAAGGAACTGCGGGGGAAAGTGTGTAAAGGAAAGGATTATTGTTTAGAATTAACTGATCAAACTCATATAAATAATTATAGTACATTAACTAAGGATGATGATGTTGTTAAGTGCCGTCGAGTCGTAGATGACTCATAGGAAGCCTGTGAATTAAAGACCTGAACACTTGTATAACTTTGGTCATTTCTTCATGGAGTTTCTGGAGGCAAGCCATTTTGAAAGTGGATGCCACTCCTGCTTCCAAGCTTGTTTTAATCGGGAAGCTCCACCAAACACTGTCCACCATGGGTAACCATTATCACATTTGACACATCAGTGTCACAGTGTTCATCATCACAGCAACCATGACTCACCTCTGTACAGCAATGCACAGACCAGTGCTATACCACTTAGAAGAATGTTTGACAAAAAAACAATTTAAACCAGGCCTGAGGGCCACAGATTAAAATCACCCACCTTTGGCTTGGTAGTTTAACTTTCTATCCACTAGGCCAATAATAGCTCTCTCTTTTTTGTTGTTTTTATTGTTGTTAAGTGTCGAGTTGCAGAAAACGCATAGTGAGCCCATGAAGGAAAGACCTGTATACTTGTATAAATTTGGTGATTGCTTCATGTTCATAGAGTTTCCAGAGGCAAACCATTTCGGAAGTGGATGTCACTCCTGCTTCCAAGCTTGTTCTAATCAGGAAACGAAACCAAACACTGTCCACCATGGGTAACTTATGAAGGATAGTAGGGTAATTTCAGAAGGAAAACTCTATTTAGCAAATGTGTTTGGAATATGCATTATGGTAGATGACAGGCATAAAAAATATATTTTTTTAAAGTAATCAGTTTTACTGATAGATGGTAAATTAATAATTATAACACAGTTAAAATTGTTGAGTTTTCATAAGGAAAACTTTGATTCTGCCTCTAGTCATTCATTTTGACCGTATTGTAAATGAATTGAGATAGTCCACTTCTTTAGAAGAATTCAGTACAAGGGAATTCTGGTGGTCTAGTGGCAAGAATCTGAGCTGCAGTCCTGAAGGTGTGCGATTCAAATCCACCAAATGCTCTGCTAGAGAAGGAGGGGCAATCTCCTATACGAGTCAGATCTGACTTAACTATAAACAACAAGAAAAAAAAAATTCAGTATAGTTTTAAGTGGCTAAGTTAGAATTAAGCATGTTTGTCTGCAACAGAAACCTGAAAATAAAATGGCTTGAACAGGTAGAAATTGATGTTTTTGGTTTCACTTTTTTTGTTTTGTTTTGGCCTTTTGTGTGTATGTGGTTTGGTTTTAAGTTCCTGTTCTTTTGAGTTGCTCTTGGTTCTCATATAACCCATGACCTTTAAATTGATTCTGAATTAAAGTGATCAACCATTAAGTTTCTGAGGCTATACATTTTAATAAGATCACATTGTGTCAACTTTCTCCCAAGGAGTAGCCAGTAGACTTCAAGCCATCAATCTTTCTGTTAGCAGCCCATCATACAACAGGCTGTGCCCCCCGGGTTCCTTGTGATCCATATAGGTAGTTCTTCTTAAGAAAAGAATAAGGAGCTGTGCTGGCCTGGTGGTTAAGGAACTACACTGCTGACCCCAAGGTTTAAACTGCTCTTTGGAAGAAAGATGGGAATTTTCCTCCCATGCAGTTTACATCCTCTGAAAGTGCCCTAGAAAGTCAAGTGTGAATTGGTTCCTACTCAACAGCATCTAACAAATAAAAGAGATTTTTGAAGGCAGACTTTTTTAAAAAGCTGTGATTTAACAAACATTTACAGAAAACTTGAACTTCCATTCATTCATTGTTGTATATTTTCCTCCCTCTCCCATTCCCCCTCTCCCAGTTCACTTTCTTTTTTAAAAAATACTCATTGTTGCACAGGGCAGGCATTTTTTATGGGTTAAACTATAGCTTGGTTTTGATTAGACTTCAGAGACTATTTTTGGTTTAACTTTTTAAAGTGATCAGGGCATTAGTTTCTGGAATTGATCACCCGCCATGACTTTTGAGAACATTGATTCCATGAGAATTTCAAATCCCTCTCTTTGGTCAGAATGTTTAGTAATGATAACTGAGCACCATCCAGGTCTTCTGGTTTCATGGCAAAGGAAGTTGTTCATGAAGCAATTAGCTACACATTTTGTATCGTCCACCTATTCCTGGCTTCTCCTTCCTCTCTTATTCTAGGCAAATAGAGAGCAATTGGGTGGCCACGTGGAAATTTTTCAACACTCAGGTACTATAGAATTAACTGGTAGGTAGAACAGAAGCACTAGGTTTGGTGTTAGCTGGGATGTCCCATAAACCATGGCCCTGGACCTTCACACCATGGAACCAGAATTCCATGAGTGTTTAGCTCTTCACAAGCAGTATGTCCAAAGTATGTGAGATGAAGCCTCATCATTCTTACCTCCAAAGAGTACTCTGGCTGTACCCTCTCCAAGACATACCTGTTTGTTCTCTCTTGGCTGTCCATGAAATGTTCAGTGCTCTTCTCCAGCACCAGAGCTCAAAGGCCTCAGTTCTTTTCCCATCATTCTTATTCATCGTCCAGCTCTCAGATGCATTACAAGTAATTGGAAAGACTATGGCCTGAATCAGACACACCTTAGTCTTCAAACTGGCATCACTACTACTCAAAAGTTTAGAGAGGTCCCTAACTATAGACCTTCCCAGTGCAATGTGTCTTCTTATTTCCTGACTGCTGGTACCAAGGGTGTTAATTGTGGAGCCAAGCAAATAAAGGATAATACTATTCATTGCCTTGCTTAGTTTTTTGTGTTTTGGTTTTTTTAAAAAATCAATTTTAATGAAAGTTTACAGAGACTTAGGGTTTCCAGTCATTCATTGTTACACTTTTCTTCCTACCCACCCTGTCCCCCACAATTCACTCTTCTGCTTAGTTTTAACTCCTCCCTGTTTTTATAAGTAAATGAACATGGATATGACAGTGTTATACCCTAATCTAAGATGTAGTTAATGTTTTAAACAATTTAATAGTTATTTTCATTGCTACTTTCACAGGTTTTGTTGGCTTGTGTTGGTTTCTTTTGCATTCTTTCAGTCAAAGTTTGTTGTTTGGATCTTTTTGTTTGTAGAGGGTTTTTGTTTGTCTTAGGGTTTTGGGGTTTTGTTTGTTTTTATTTGTGTGTGTGTGTGTGTGCGCGCGTGCCCCTCCTCTAGGAGAGCATCAGGTGGTGGTTTAGGGGTTTGTTGCAAAACAAGTGAAAAATAGGCATAGTGAAAGGAAGGTCATGCAAAAGAGCTAAAGTAAAAAAGAAATAAGGAAGAGGGGTAAAGAAACCATGGAAAGATGGGTGAACCCAAACTTTATAGCATGGTGTTAGCAGAAAAGGAGAGTAAGAGAGAGTTGAAGTATTAAGATTTTTGTTTCTGATACTCTTAACTCGAATCTTCCATTAAAAACTTAGCTCCCACTTTAAATATCTTTACTCAATACCGAATGGAAAGGATGATGATCTAATATTTTCCCTGAAGACCATATTGTTGTTGTGTACCATTGAGTAGGAACCAACCCATAGCTAACACTCCAGTGGGTTTTCAGAGGCAGTTAATTTCATGGGAGGAGATTGCCCATCCTTATCCCACAGAGCAGTTAGTGAATTCACACCTTGTGCCCTCAGGATGGCAGAGCACTAGGCCACCAGAGCTCCTCCATAGGTGTGTCAGTATGAATTAGCATTAATCTTTGTTACTCATTAATGTTGTTATGTTATTGTGTACTGTCAAGTCAGAATATACTCTTATCTGCCCCCCCACCAGGTTTTTAGAGACTATAAATCACTCTGGAGGAAATTGTGCATCTTTGTCTCAAGGAGCAGCTGGTGAATTCTGTCCATGTGTCTTTGCGTTGATAGGACAACTGCTTACTACCACTTGGCCACCAGAGCTCCCTACCAGTGAATAGCCACAGATAATTTTCAAAATTGTTATATTTTTAAAAATTTTCTTTTCCATGTCTCTTTGTGAAGATGAAAATACTTGAAAGATTTAAGTATTAATTTTTTTTCTATCTTTCTTGTGGTTTCCTGGTTTTTCTCTTGATAACCTAGTTCTGTAATATGTTGTCCTTCAAATAGATTTTTGCAACCTCTGGGCAGTGAACTTAAAATTGAAAACTACTGATAGATAAAGTAACAGTACAGATAACAAGAAAAGCCATATAGTGAATAAACTTTCCAAAAATGTCTGATAATTATTATCTACTTACTTTAGTCTTCTAATACATATGGTATGGTTGTGTATCAGGCTGCCATACTTAGTAATAAATTTTGAAAATTGTGAAATGTTAGATATTAAATGAAACATCTTAATTGTATATATAAGGGAGCTTTAGTGACTTAGTGAATAGTTGTGCTGCCAACTCAAAGACAGGCGATTCAAATCCACCAGCTTCTCCTCAAAAGAAAGATGAACAATCTGCAGGATCACCTGTGAATCTGTTTCAGCTCAATGGCACGTAACAACAACAGTCATATATATATGTTCCGTAGAAATGCAGAAATCGTGGCATGAGAGATCTAGATACACTTTTGATGAGTTTTTGTAGTCCTGAAAATTTATAAATAATTGAACTTTGTTTTAGTTACCTAGGTTTTGTATAATAAGCCACTACAAAATTTATATATGTTAAGCAGAAACTGTGTTTTATTCATGAGTTT